CCCCAAAACCCCAAAACCCCAAAACCCCACAGGATTGGAATTGGATATTTATAGGATATTTTAAAGAACTAAATGTAATAATATTATAATGAGAATTACAAGTCTTATATTTACAGTTTTGGCTTCAAGTGCAGCAGTAAATGCTAGCAGTTGCTGGTAAGATGCTTATGGAAGAGGTGTTGGAGAAGTTATTACAACTTGCTCTAATGGTCTTTAAAAAGATGGTGCACTTTGCTATCCATACTGTAATTCAGGATTCTATGGAGTAGGACCAGTTTGCTGGGAATCATGCAAAGATGGTTATACTGACACTGGAGTCGATTGTTTAAAGCCTTCCTCCTATGGTAGAGGAGCTGGCTATGCTCTCTGGAGCTGGAATCAATGTTTAAATGATAATCCTCAAGGCTGTGAACAATGGGGAGCTTTGTATTACCCTAAATGCAGACCAAACTTCCATAATGCTGCTTGCTGCATATGCTCTCCAGATTGCCCATCAGGCTAAGTTGACATTGGCGTCTCTTGTCAAAAGAATACTTATGGCAGAGGTGTTGGAGTACCTCTCGGTTGTGCCTCAGGTCTTGAAATGTCAGGAGCTCTATGCTACCCTCCATGCTCAAATGACTATCATGGAAACGGTCCAGTATGCTGGTAAAACTGCCCTGCTGGAAAGTATTCCTGTGGAGCTCTCTGCACTGATAGTGCAGATTAATGCTCAAGCAGTGTAAAGAATATTGTTTAAGATATTTTCGAAGCTGCTGTTTTAATTGCTGTTGGTGCCACCACTGGTGAAGCTGATATTCCAGGCATTCTCTAGAACCTAGGAGGAGCCGCAACTGAGCTTGCTAATGCTGTGTGCGATCACTCGCCAAGATTGGAGTTTATCTAATGAGATTTAAAAATGGATTTGCTCTGATGCCTCCTATGATTTTAATATACTTCAAAAGATTATCAAATTTAACATATCAATTGTTTTAAATTCTAAGTATCCATTATTAGATTTGAATTTTGTCTAGTAAAAATTTCGAATCGAATAAAGCCTTGCGGGGTTTTGGGGTTTTGGGGTTTTGGGG